ATACTGTGAACAGAGGGATTATTACATTCCACTGTATTCTAGATGGAAAGTGAAGTCCAGGATGTCAGAGACTCTTTTTGTCTTTCTCACTAGTGTAGCCTCCTGCATACTATAGCACCCAGAACATTGTAACATTCTCAAAATTTATGTTGAAGTGTCAAATGTGGTCATTATAATTCTAGAAATGCAGCTAAAATTGTTAGCTGATTTAGAATTTTGTTTCTGTTGGGGCATGTTCAATCAAGACCTTAAAATGTTTTTCTTGTAAACTGTTTTCACATTGTGTAGACTAAAATGATGGAGGTAAGTGAGGCTGGTGAGGTAGGAAGAAGTCACGTCATTTAATTAAGGACCTGTAGTTCAAGTGAGAAGTGGAGACCGGCACAAACCTGATAGTGGCAGAGAAGGTGGAACATGAATCGGCTCTAAATATGTTGGAGGTAGACTATAAGACTAACGGATTTGGTTGGGAAGGGATATGGAGAAGGCAAAGACAGTGTTGAGGTCTATGGTTTGAGGTCTGGATGGTATGATTGAGCCATTTACTAGGATAAGAAAAACAGAAAATTAAGAGTATTTCTGAAAATGTCTTGAGAGAGTTGTGAGATGCCCATCTCTCTTCTGTTTTGGTTCCATTGCTGTATGTCTTTCATTAAGCCATTTATCAGAGTGGGCCAAAAGAGGTGTATTGTGAAAATGCCTTTAAGGTCAGACCTGAAACTGCTAGGGTTAATGAGAAGCATTCTAATGAGAACAAGCTAGAGAAACCAAGGGCTGCAGTAATTCGGAAACCTTGGTTGCAAGGCTTTTCAAGTTTCTCTGCCCAGTCAGGATTGGTTTCAGCTTCCCAGGGATTCCCATTGTGAGTGTTTATCAATAACCTGAATTTATCCAACTTGTATCCTATTCTCTGCTTCCACTTTATTTATTCACTTCCCTATTTAAAAACTCCAGTGGTGGGGCCGGGGCTGTTGCTCAGTGGTGGAGCGCTTGCCTCGCATGTGTTAGGCACTGGTTTCGATGCTCAGCAAAATAAAGATATTGTATGTCCATGTACAACTTAAAAAAAAAAAAAAAACTCCAGTGGCTCTCCACCACCTTCAGGATGAAGACCAAATTATTTAAAATAATATTCATGTCCTTTCCTAAGCTGTCATTTTTGCCTGTGTCTGTTTCCCCATTCCATCTTCACATGTACTGTCTGGAAAGAAAAATCTGCACATGGTTGTGGGACCTGAAATTGATGAGAACACAGTGATCTTGGCTGTATTGAAGAGGCTGCCCATAATTTCTCAACAGTAGGGGTTTATTTAACACAGAAGCACCTCTGGAGCAGAAGCCTCTGAGACAGATACAACCTGAGAATTTACAAAGGAATTGCCACTTTATAATATATTAATAGTTTTATTAAAATATTGCTTAGCTGTGTGAACTGAGGCAAATGTTTTAACTTCTCAGAGCCTGTTTATTTATTGGGGGAAATGAGAATGTCTACTTACAGAATGGTTGTAAGATAACATAGTAAAACATTTAGAATAACGTGTGGCATTTAGTAGGTTCTCCATAAATGGTAGCTCCCATTTCTCCTCCTCTCTCACCTTCTCCACCCACTTTTTTTTTTTTTTTTTGTACTGGGGATTTAACCTAAGGGCACTTAACCACTGAGCCACATCCCCAGCCCTATTTTGTATTTTATTTAGAGACAGGATCTCACTAAGTTGCTTAGTGCCTCACTTTTGCTGAGGCTGGCTTTGAACTTGTGATCCTCCTGCCTCAGCTTCCCAAGCTGCTGGGATTACAGGCATGCTTCTGATTGCAATTAGTTTAGTTAGTGATAACTATTCTAACCTTACTTCCCACTACTTCCTAATTTTAACCTTATTCCAACCATTCTGAAATTCTTGCTAATTCCTGAGGAGCTAGAGTGGTCTCATTAATGCCAGTTGCCCTGCATAGAATTCCTTTTGCCCACTGCCCTTTAAGTCTCTTTCTGTTGACATCTATACTCATCTTTCAAAGCTTAATTTAAAAGCCACCATTTCAGCATGGCTAATCACTCTAGTTTAAAGTTCTTAATTTATAGTTTTGTGTTACTTCATTGATTTCTCTCATAAATTTTTATCTGATTAAGATACTGCCTTGTGTTTCAGTATTTATTTCTCATCTCCTTAAGAATTGTGTATTCTTTTTTGGTCTCTCTCAGATAGCCAAGGTAAATCCTTTTTTACCTGATTAGCACCCACTAAACATTAATAGATTCTCTGTGAGCTAATTTAAAGAGTATTACCAATATCGAGTCATTATATTTCATCCCTAAATATTGATGGCAAGGGAAATTTTCTTAATGTTGCCAAACTAGTGTTTTTATGAAGTTTTCCACTGAAGAAGTTTTAATGGAGCATTGACTGTACTAATGTTAGACTTAAAAAAAAAAAAAAGAAAGAAAGAAAGTTTTCATTTGACCTTTTCAATCTCCTGGGAGTTGGGGTTCTAACATTTGTGATTTGCTTGAATATGCAGATGCATATTATTAAAACAAGTGTATCTTTGATACCAGAAGGGATTTGGAGGATTAGGATTGAGATGAAATGGGACTCATCACTTTGTCTTCAGTGCTGTACTAATCTTTCCTTCCTAACTTACTTCTCTCTCTCTCTCTCTCTCTCTCTCTCTCTCTCTCTCTCTCTCTCT